CATAATGTAACATTGGAGATCTATCAATCCAGTGTTGTGCTCGCCAAATTTCCATTTCCAGCTTCCTTGCTACTTCCTCCCAAGCATTCCAAAATGCATTTAATGTCCTTTGGGGCGACGTAAAAGGGAACCCTGAAAATGTCTCTTCGGTAATTAAAGGGGTGAAATTATGGTCAATAAATCACTTATCATCATTATATCTTTGATTTAATTTTTATTTGCTTGCCACAATTAGTCTGAATGTGGGGGCACTAAATCCTAACTCTCTGCGTCAAGGCTCTCGAAGCATCAAGAAGGAGAAGATCGATTTCTTATTCCATCTTGTGATTCTGACCAACTTTCTGTCAACCTATCTTTAAGGATGAAAAGTTGAGATTTTTATTAAAATACCGACCAACATTATGGTTGGTCGAAAACAGCAAGATTTCTCACAGTGAATATATAGTATACCCCCACACTTATTTGCCCACAGTTTACAATAAATAATAAATAGAACAAACAAAATAGGGAATAATAAATATCTCAAATAATGAGAATGAACAATTATGTTGCATTTAAATTAAATTACCTACCAATAAAATGGTTGAGATGTCTATTTTTACTTCCGGTGAGAATCGATTTTACCACTAAATCACTTTTAATGAGAACTATTTATTTCCAAAAACCTTTACTGCTCCTGATATGATATGATGCTGAATTGAATAGCTTATTGGGGCAAAGAGATGATGAAGCAAACATGCCAATTCATCTTTTTGTTTTGTTAGTTTACCTTTCTGCTTTGTGATTGAAAATTCAGTTTTGGAGTTTTGTTTTTCTTTCCCAGGTTGATGTGACTGGTTTAGATTGTTAAATTGACAAAACCATAACGTTATTGTAAAGATAATGAATAAACGGTTGAAATTTGTTGAAATTATTATCATAAAATGTTAAAATAAAATTGATATGAAAAATAAAAATAGATATATACACCGTCGAACAAATATAAAAACATTAAATTGATATTTTAACTTTTTTCTGTGATAATCCAAGTTTTCTGGTTTTGCTAAACAATATCTTGTATTTCATAATTTCGTACCCAAACCTATAAAAAAGTAAATTGAATCAATTTAACTTCAAGATTCAACACCTAACGGTACACTGTACTTTTACGCGCAAGGAGTCTAAACTCGCAACTATTTAATGTATACACTTAATTACCTATTAAATGATAATAATTTTTTTTTTAAAAAAAATCGCTTTTAAATTCTAAATTATAGGGTAATAGTGGGTTAAGTCGTTGTATTACAAGTGTTACAATTTGTCTACTCTTATGGCCTGTTTGGTTCACGGAATAGGCCGGGAATGGCATAGCATTCCCAGTAATAGGCCTATTCCTTTGTTTGGTAATCATTTCTATTACCAGGAATAATATACATGGTAAAAGCCTATTACCTCAAATAAGGTAATAGCTATTACTAGGGCCCCCCCCTGGTATTAGCCTATTAAGCGCTCAGGAATTAGGGATGGAAATCTCAATCCGACCCGTGGATATCCACCCGAATCCACCGCGCATGGATCGGGTTTTTTGGGTGATGGTGGGTGGTGGGTCGGGGTGGGTCTTAAAAAAGCAAACCCGCGGTGGGTCGGGTTGGATTCAGGTTCTATGTACAAGACCCGCCTAGAACCCCACCCGACCCACCATGTGTGTGTGTATATATATATATATATATATATATATATATATATATATATATATATATATATATATATATATATATATATATAATAGTAAAATAAGTACTAGTATGTAGTTATTTATAATAGTTTATATAACTTCGTGTATCTTTTTACTATTTTTTATATCAAAACTACTAAGTTTATTTTTAAAAATTAACAATTTTGTTATTATATTTAAATGTTTCCATTATTTATGTTTTAGTATCACTAATGGATTTTATTTTTTTATTATGTGTAAATAATTTAAATATTATTTTTTGAAAAACATAATATAAGATGATAAGTGGTGGGTACCCGTAGTGGACACCCGCACCCGGTGGGGGTGGGGGTGGGTTCTGAAAAAGGCCACCCAATGCGGGTTGGAGGTGGGGGTGGGTGGAGAAAATATAAGGTGGGTCGGGTGATGGATGTAGCCCTCCCCGACCCACACCCGACTTATTGCCATCCCTATCAGGAATAGATTTTAGAATCTATTTTCTTTTTTACCCCTTTCTTTAACCTAATTTTTTTATTCTATATTTATCCTATTTCACCACCGTTATCACCACCACCACCATCCCGCCGCCGCCACCACCACCACTACCACCCCAGCACCACCACCGCCGCCACCACCATCACCACCACCGCCACCACCATTGCCGCCGCCACCGCCACCAGAACCACTACCCAGCAGCACCACCGCCACAACCGTCGCTGCCCCTACCACCACTGCCACAACCGTCCCCGTCACCACCACCACCGTCGCCACCACCACCACTACCACCCCAGCACCACCACCGCCACCGCCACCATCACCATCACCATCACCGCCACCACCACCATCATCACCACCACCACCACCACATTACCATCACCATCACCACTACCACCACGTACCACTACCAACACCACAATACCCCACCATCACACAACTACAACCACCACCACCACCACCACTATCACCTATTGTTGTTGTTGTTGTTATAATATAACAGATAATATGTTCATTTTCAGAAAAATTACCAAACAACAAAGAGAACAAAGAAAAAATGCCATCTAACATGCCCTTTATACCAAAAAACAAAAAAAAACAAAAAAACAAAAAAAAAACAAAAAAAACAAAAAAAAAAACAAAAAAAAAAACAAAAAACACAAACAAAAACAAAAACATTAAAAAAAACAAAACAAAACAAAACAAAACAAAATAATTGCACTCATAAACTCTAAAAAGTTACAATTAAACGCATTAACTTGTCAATTTTTTACAATTAAACTAAATAACCATGTTAATAAAATAGATCATTGAGAAAAAGATTTAACAAAGCAAAATATCTTTTACTCCTCCCTATTATTTCGATTTATGGAACAATTCAGTAGTTTAAGGACTAGTTCAGAAATTGTCTCTAAAATTATACTAATCTTAGATTGAGTTTGTACTAGTTCTAAAACATAGTTCGGTGAATAGACACTGGCAGCAAATGAAGATTGAAGACCAGGAGTGAACAAATTGATAAGACTTGTTCAGAAGAAAGCTCAATACAGTTAGTTGGTTGAAGATTAATCCAGAGAAACAAGTATAAATGTCATTCATTCTCCTCCATATCAATTGATGATTTCCAAGAATTACTCAGCAAAATTCCAAAATACTGACAGGGCACATTCATGAAGCTTAGCTTAACGAAGCAACTTGGTGAATTCTCAATTCATATCAAGTTGATTTTGATCCTTGAAGATCTTGGGTTGTTAAACCACCAGAACACGACTCGGGAGAGCTGCAGTTGAGGGGAGTCTCAACTTGGAAGATTTGGAGATCTTATACCGACTCTTCAAGAAGCTTCGACGCGATTGAAAGGCTACAAAGTAGCTATGGAGTTCGAAGTGCTTCGCTCTAATCAATTGTTTGGTAAAACACGTTTGATTGATTATGAATGAAGAGTTGGGCAATCATTTATGTGGTGCCCCCCAGATGTAGGAATGATTATTCTGAACTGGATTACCAAACGTCCCCTGTCTTTGTGCATTTTACTTTATCGCTTGCTTACTGTGTTGTGTGTTAATGCTTCTCTGAACTACTGATTGAACAAGTTCACTAGTTATCTTCAATCACTCTACTGCAAACTGTACTCGTTAATCATTAGCACATAAGTTGTGATATTGAGTTATCCCTGCGTAAACTTCAAACCAGTTACCTCTAGATAATCAATAAAAATATTAAAGCAATAAATAAATTAAATTAAAAAAATATACACAGATGAAGAAGTCATGACTGATTTGGGCGAATAAGCCACCATGACTTCTTCATCTAGATTTGTGCGAAGAAGTCATTGTGACTTCTTCGCTCAGTTGAACAGAGAAACTAGGCTGACTTATTTATCCAATTGGATGGAGAAGTTGAACATAGCTTCTCTGTCCAGCTGAACAATAGGCTACTTTGTCATCTAGACGGAGAAAATGGCCAGCTTCTTCGTCAATGTAGAATCCAACCATTTTATTTTTCTTCTTTTTAATTACTTAAAAAAAAATCAAATTACGAGTTATTGTTTTAAATTTTACCGATCAATTAGCCTAATAGCATCAATTTAACAAGCTATCAATTTGATTGATTCAAATTGATGAGTTGTTGTATTCAAGTTTAACTTTATAAAGTTCACAAGTCTTTTTTTTAATATATAAACTATAAAGTTTAATGATCTATTTGCTTTATTAATAATATCTGTGTCAAAAGTAATAATTTTTCATAAATAAATGATATTACCTCCTTACCCACTCCCCCAATCATGAACCATCCTTCAGCCTCTCTTGGTTTGTTTATTACTCTCTTTATCTCATTTTATCTGTTATACTTATTATTCATTAGTCAAGCTAATATTTTTTATTTGTTTATTTCTGTTAGCTTTTTTTATAATTTTTAAATTTAATTTTTAAATTTACTAGTATGTTTAATGTAGTTTTTAAATATATAAATTTTACATATTAATTTTAAACTTAATATTATGAAAAATTAAATTATAAATAACTTTAGTCAAATCTTTTAACTGAACTCGACATATAAAATGAGACGAACACGAATGGAGTAATAAAGTAGTGAGTAGTAGTACTTCCTTTCCGTTTGGAAAAACAATACTAAAATAATGAAAAGAAACAGAGGACGGAAGCTGCACTTGTTTTTCGTCCCATTAAGTTTTTGCATTTTTAGTCAGAAAGTGTTTACCAAAAAAAAAAAAAAAAAAAAATTACTCCATAGTAATCCAAAATTACCTGATTTAGACATAGCACATGACAAGAGCTTTCAATTCATTTTCTTCAGTTCTTATATATTGATTGATGTACCCTGCCTTTTCTTCTGTCAAATCTCTCTGAACAATCTAAACATAAAAACATAAATTTCTATATGCAACTAAAGAAGGTGGCATCTATGTCTTCTCGTACTGGGAGAGATTTGCAGAGGTATAACGTCGAGGGTTGTCGCCAAGTTGTTGGGTATGTTCTTCTCTTTGGTTTTCTTGAAGAGTTTCTGTAGTTGAAAGGCGAAACCCAAAGGTTTCTTGAATTCTTGATTTTATGATCCAGAAAGGAAACCCCTTTTTATCTCATTTTTATGATTGTTCTTATTTACTGGAAATTTGGGCCTGATTTTCCTCTCAATCTGTGAATATATATGTTGCAGCTGCATTCCGTACAGATACACAAAAACAAACCAATCCATTTGTGGGACAGCAACAATTCATGATTTGGAATTTCTTTTGGTTAGCTCACAGACATGTCCAAGAATGATGTTCCCCAAGGTAAACATCATCTGCAAATATTACAATGTTTAAGGTTCTTGAATATGAAATTGCCAGATTTAATTAATTTCCTCATTCCTTAGTTGACATTTATTTTTCAATTATGGAATGTAGGGTGGTTGGGAACAAGATGAATCCTTGGAAGAAGCAGCTCATAGAGAGACCTTTGAGGAAGCTGGGGTACATGGAAAAGTTGGGGTTAGTATTATTCATCTTCACCTAACTTTTCCCATTCTGTTTTCTTAGTTTTCTGGCAACTTTTCTGTTCTTTTTTTCAATTATCTAATGTTAGCAGATACAATTGTTTGCAGGTTTGTTTAGGATCATGGTACTTTAAGAGCAAGAGCCAAGGTACTTTTCATGAGGGGTTCATGTTGCCTTTGTTTGTGACAGAGGAGCTAGACCATTGGCCAGAAAAAGATATGCGCCAAAGATCATGGGTATGCCTAGTTCTTGAGTAGTTATTTTGATGTAAAACGTATGAAATTGAAGTATGTGTTCCATCTCAACTAAAAGTCTGAGCTGATAGTCGGACTACACATTTATGTTTATATATTATATGTTCAACACGCCCACTCACGTGTGTGGGCCGATTACTTGAAACATGTGCTACACCTCAACTAAAAGTCTAAGCTGATAGTTGGACGTACTGCCCCCTCATGTGTGTGGGCCGATTACTTGAAGCATGTGCTTAATCTCAACTAAAAGGCTAAACTGATGGTTGGACTGAATAACAAGTGCCATGGATTGTTGTATTTACGCGAAATTAATTTGCAGATGTCATATAAGGAAGCAATGAATGTATGCTTCCATCCTTGGATGAAGGAAGCTTTGGATTGCTTGGTTTCTCAGCTCAACCTTTCCCGGAGAGATGAAAACGAGCCAAGAAATGGTATGGCAGCCGATGAAACGTTGAGGAGCGAAGAACAAGTTGATCGCGATTTAGCCCAAAGTGTGCAAACCAAGGACGGAGCTTTGACAGTGGAAGAACCAAGAATGATCCTTGCTGCCCAAAGTTTGATAGATGGAAGTCCCGGGACTGCATACTTGTTAGAACTGTTGATCACCGAGGGCCAAACCATAGCGTTAAGTCTGCAAAGAAATTTCGTGGATCGGGTTATGGCGATCCTGGTGACCGATGAAACCCTGCTTAGCATTGTGGCTCAGAAGTTTAACCGAAAGGAAGAAAAAACCTCGGACAAGGTGTCTGACAGAGTTCTTGAAGGTCGAGGATCCCAGACTAGGTATTATAGCTCAATCCTCTGAACACGAAGCTCATCGTTGTCTAGTTACTTAGTCTAAGACTGCTTTCAAACAATCCCAGTTTGAGCTAAAAGTGCAGAAAACCAACAAAAATTAGCTCGAACAATGTAGATTTTGTACAAACGTTTAGAAAGTTAGGGGTGTACAGACTTTTCTAACTCGACGGTTCTGTGAAATTAATCAAAGATGAGATTGATTGATTCATTCTTTCTTTAGCAACTTGTGTGTTTCAAGTTGTGGTAGACTTTTCAGAGCACTTATATTATTATCTCAGATGTTTTGAAGACTTATAAAACTAGTGCTTGAGTCCTTTTCATTCAATGCTGTCATCAACATATCAAGTTGAAACCAAAACCTTATCCTTCTAATTTGTACATGAATGTTTCATGTTGAAAGCAAAATCTTATCCTTCTAATTTTGCATATGTCATTCCAACAATATCAACCATTAGTATAGAACAAATGTTGCCCGCACAGCTTAGCTTACTGGTTTAGTAGGCAGTATTTGGGAGAAGAAACCAAAGTTTGAATCTGCTGCACATTTCCTTTTCCTGACTCGTACTCCCTCAGTTTTATTTTATGTGTCTGGTTCGATTAAAGTTATTTTTAATTTAATTTTTCGGACAAAATACGTCTGAGGTCCTTATACTATAATATTTTGTTCAATTTAGTCTTTATACCTTTATTTTGTTCAATTTAGTCCATGTACTTTACAAAGTGGTACAATTAAGGATAACATAGTTAACGGTGTTAATATTATCGTTAATTTAGCTTATGTGGCACTGACACCATTACTGTTACATCATGATATTTATATTCTAACTCATATATTACTTTATAAATATTTAATATTTTTTACCACCAATATATTAAATTAATATGTCTAAAATAAATAATTACAACAATGCTCCTAATGAAATTTGAAAACTTGATGTCAACATGCTTGTAAATTTATTTTGGACATAATAATGTAATATATTGGTGCTAAAAATAATTAATTTAAAATATTTATAAAACAATATATGAGATAGAATATAAATATCATGATGTGGCAGTGATGACCTCAGCGCCACGTAAGTTAAGTTAACGGTATAATTAACGCCGTTAACTATTGTCCTTAATTACACGGTATTTTGGACTAAATTAAACAAAATAAAGGTACAAGGACTTAAACACTATAATACAGATATCTCAAAGGTATTTTGACCCAATTTTTCATAATATTAAGTTTAGTATTAGTATATACTTTACAATTTATATATTAAACACACAGCCAAACACCTTGTGCACAAATATCACCCGGGTTGGATTCTCATATGGAAGGTTGTGAGTTCGAGCCTTACATTGGTTAACTGTGAATAGTAAATAGGATAAATTTAGAAAACTGTTTATCTTGCATGCCAAAAATTGAGGATTGTATTATAATCCTAGACTAGTAGACTAGATGTAAAAAGGGAAAGAAAACTGTTTATCTTGCATGCCAAAAATTGAGGATTGTATTATAATCCTAGACTAGATATAAAAAGGGAAAAAAACAGAAAGAAAAACATCTGAATAATTTAGATGCTATTTGGCATCATTTTTTTGGTTTTAAATTGAGAACAAAAAAAAAAAAAAAAAAAAAAAAAAAAAAAAAAAAAAAACATCTGAATAATTTAGATGCTATTTGGCATCATTTTTTTGGTTTTAAATTGAGCAAAAAAAAAAAAACATCTCTCATTATTTGACTCAATTGCAGAGATCTTGACTCATTTTTTGTTTACAAAACCATATGATTTCCTTAAATGATGTTTCAGACATGTCTTGCTATGAGGTTATGAGATGTCTTGAGGGGGGAAAAACGGGTTTTAAATTTAAAATTAATACGAAATAATGAGACTATTTGTTCTTGAGAATTAGACAAATTTCCCAAACTATCTTATGAGTCTCAATTCGGGTTAGAAGAATTTGAATCAGAAGGACCACGAGTGCTTAAAATTTAAAGTTTGAATGACAATGGGTGGTTAACTTGAAAGTTAAAGGACCATGAGTGGTTAACCGACAAATTATGTTGTGGATTCGTGTCCACAATACATTGTGGACACGAGTCCAAAACGACATCGTTTTAAGGGAAAACGCGGTCTTTCAGTTAAAAAAAATTGATTTTGTATCGCCGTTAACGGCGTTATTCGTTTGTGGCATTATAAATGTACAGTTATGGAATTATGAATGTACAGTTATGCAATTATGAATGTACAATTATGGAATTATGAATGTAAGTTATGGAATTATGAACACAGAGCTCTGACATTATGAACTTAAAATTATGAACATAGAGCTCTAAAATTGTGCACATAGAGTTTCGAAAATTATGAATTTATAATTATTGAATTATGAATGTACAGTTATGCAATTATGAATGTACAGTTATGCAATTATTTAGTGACATTTTATTTCCTGCAAATTGTCCATTATAGTCTTCCTATAAAGTACTACATTTGTGTTATATATAAGGCTTAAAGTATTGATGACATATGCAATTTTATTATGTTATTGTTTTATTCCCCTCAAAAATGTGTATTGCATTTATATTATAAATTATTATGTATGAATTTTAAAGTATTGATTATATATGTAATTCTTTATATTATTATTTTATTTGATGCAATTGTCTATTAGAGTTTTGCTGTAAAGTATTACATTTATGCTATAACGTATTATACATAAGATTTAAAGTACGGTATTGATGATATTAGTAATTCTGTAATATAATTACTTTGTTTCTTAAAAATTATTTATTATATTACAGTTTTGCTAAGTATTACATTTATGATATAAAGTATTATATATAATACTTAAAATATTGATTATATATGCGGTATGTTATCACTCATATTTATTAAATTCAATTCGTTTCGCATATTGAGATCCGTGAAATGTTCTCACGTGAGACCATTTATATCATACTACATTATTATATTTTACTCTTTATATCCGGACATGTTAATTAATCAATGGTTCTTAAAGGTGATATATTATTATTATTATTATTATTATTATTATTATTATTATTATTATTATTATTATTATTATTATTATTATCAAAAATTTATTATTATTATTATTATTATTATTATTATTATTATTATTATTATTATTATTATTATTATTATTATTATTATTATTATTATCAAAAATTAATGAGATTATGTTCCTCATTTCATGCATTTTTGCTCCTTTGTCACTGGACAGTCGGTGATTTTTCCTTTTTTTTTTTTCCCTGATCTAAAGTAGGTGCATAACAATGACATTATAATATAATATGGCAATAAATAATAATGCAGAATATAATATTGTGGATTGTGGGTCAGTTGTAGATTGCATACAATAAACAATGATCTTACATACATATCATGCACACATGTAGAGTTTGTTGGGAGGGGGGGGGGGGGGGGGGGTGTGTTTCTAAGTGGCCAAGGTGGTTTTATTCTCGATGATAATTATAAAAACATTATTTGTATTAAATTTTATAATATAACAAAAAATAATACATAAATAAAAATAATATAAAAGTCAATAATGATAAGATTCTAATAATTTTTTTAAAAAAAACTTGGTCTTCTTTTTTTTTTAAAAAAAAAGGAAAATCAGCTTAAATACATTGTCTGGGATGAACACATAACAAAGGTTGAGCCGTTCTTTAAGTCAAAGTATTATGAATCCAGAACCTATATATGGTAATTCTATTACAATTTTGTAGGGCAAAAGTTTGTTTGAACAGTAAGTATATAAATACTTATATTTTATGAGCAATTAGCACTAAAATGTATTCATTTTCTGAAGTACTTTTAGTAGTGTGGTAAAAATACATTTCAACAGTTAGTACTAAAGTTTTGGAATTAAATTTATAAGTAGTTTACATGTTTCCAGGTGATTAGGTTAAGCTGTGTAGTTCTTATGATGTCACAAAAATCCTCTTTAATGAAGATTCTCTTAAGTTTCTCGAATTTAGGAAAATGTATTTTTCATACCCAATTTAAGATTTGATATATTTAAATTTTTGTTATATTGTGTAATTCTTTTATTGTTAAAGTTACCTTTAAGAGTTATTTGAAACCTTTGACATCTGCATAATTATAGTTTAAACATATGTGGTAATAAGAAAACTCCAATGAAGAACATAACTTCAATGTCTAGTATGAGTTATGGGAATGCAATAGAGGTTTCAACAAATGGATCACTAAATTTTCGTATCATATCTTAGATATACCAACTAAAATAGGTATATTTTAGTCTATTTTAAAGTTGTGCACTATTTAATATCACATCAGATTTTCATATCATCATTTATCGGTGTATAAAAGTTAGTATATATTACGGAGTATAAGCTAACACATATATTCAAAACATATTAACAAAAAAGAATTCAAAACATCTAATTAACCTAATGACATCAAACTCTTATCTACATCTTTTCTATTTATCTTTTATTATTTATAGAGTTGTTATTTTTTGACAATATGGTGACTATTGGGTGGCTGCTAAGATTGTCGGCATTGAGGTGGCTGCTAAAATTGTCGGCATTGAGGGTTCAACCGACTGGTGTTATAGTTCTTGCAAGAGCAATGGTTGTAACAAAAAGTTGGTTCCAAATAATGGCTTAAATGACTGTGTTAAATGTAATAGGAGTAGGGTGGAAGGAGTTTTGAGATATAGGTTGAAGGTTCGGGTGGTTGATGTAAGTGGTAATGCCCATTTTCTTCTTTGAGACAGGGAGTGCAACGAGTTGAAGGCCAAGAATGCAAAGGTATACAATTTAAGTTTGTTTAATGCTTATAAAATAAAACTAACATGTTGACTTACCACAAATTTTTTTTAAAAAAAATTTTTGTACACGAGTTCAGAAATTCCAAAAGAATTTAGAGTCATTGGTAGGACAGTGCATGTCTTTTAGGGTGGGCGTGAGGAATGAACAATTTGAAAATCTCCATAATGCCTTTGTTGTTATGAAGATAAATAAGGACATTAAATTGGTTGAGGATCATGCCCGAGTTACTGAAAACTTGGATAAGAATCTTAGCCAGAGTCAGTGGCGGAGCCACAATGGGGGCAGTGGGCCCCCCTCCCCTCAATTCTTTCTACTAATATATAAGTACACGGATAAGTCATTAAAGTGTTTAGTAGATTAGTGAGTTGAATCTTAAATATGAAAAATGAAAAATAAAGTG